AACAATGTATAAACTACAACTGTATACAATACTAGTATTGTATACAGTTGTAGTTTATACATTGTTACTAGTATTGTATACAGTTGTAGTTTTTATATTGTTACTAGTATTGTATACAGTTGTAGTTTATACATTGTCACTAGTATTGTATACAGTTGTAGTTTATATATTGTTACTACTATTGTATACAGTTGTAGTTTATACATTGTTACTAGTATTGTATACAGTTGTAGTTTATACATTGTTACTAGTATTGTATACAGTTGTAGTTTATACATTGTTACTGGTATTGTATACAGTTGTAGTTTATACATTGTTAAAAGTTTAAAATGAACGCTCTTGAAGAGATGATGTCGTTTCCTTCGCTATGTCTTATTCTTTCCATTTTATTTTTATTACTTTCTAACATTCATCTTCTTTGAGAAGTGTTTTCATATAACAGACTTTCTGTAAATATCTAATAATTCCTTTTTTTACAGTAACACTGTTATGAAATATGAGTTTGGAGATTTGTCAGTCTCGCCACATTTCTGCGCTGTTTTATTCCAACCAGAACTGATATATGTATATAGAAATATCATTTGGGAATGCTAAGAATGTGTCATTTGCATGAAAACATGCTGATTCGACACCTAACTTGTGGATGGATGTTATTATAGTGCTTTGATGTGCTTATCTTTTTCGAGGCACATTTTCTTTTAAGTAGAAGATGTGATCTTTTAGCTTAAAGAACTTAGCGAAGTTTTTACACCGTTATTGAGGGAGCAACCCGTTGTTTTCACCCCACGATTTAGGTGGCTTGAAGCTTTAAATAGTATTATACTTGCTCATCTTCAATTTTATTTAGATTCGTCTAAGTTTTATTGTAAAAGTTTTCATTTCGATATCGCGTTGATATTGGCTCATCCATTTTTACTTAATATCGTAGATTCATATATACACACACAGATATCAGATCGTTTTAGTCCTAGTTCCTCTAGATTGTTATATACAGATATCAGATCGTTTTAACCGAGTATTCTCTAGACATATACACACACAGATATCAGATCGTTTTAACCGAGTATTCTCTAGACATATACACACACAGATATCAGATCGTTTTAACCGAGTATTCTCTAGACATATATATAAGGATATTAGATCATTTTAGTTCTAGTTCCTCTAGATTGTTATATACTGATATTAGATCATTTTAGTTCTAGTTCCTCTAGATTGTTATATACTGATATTAGATCGTTTTAGTTCTAGTTCCTCTAGATTGTTATATACTGATATTAGATCGTTTCAGTTCTAGTTCCTTTAGATTCCTATATACTGATATTAGATCGTTTTAGTTCTAGTTCCTTTAGATTCCTATATACTGATATTAGATCATTTTAGTCCTAGTTCCTCTAGATTGTTATATACTCATATTAGATCATTTTAGTTCTAGATCCTTTAGATTCCTATATAATGATATTAGATCATTTTCATCCAGTTCTTTTAGATTGGGCCCGGCATGGCCAGGTGGTTAGGGAGCTCGACTCGCAATCTGCGGGTCGCGGGTTCGAATCCCCGTCCCACCAAACAAGGTCGCTCTTTCAGCCGTGGGGGCGTTATGATGTGATGATAAGTTCCACCGTTCGTTGGTAAAAGAGTAGTTCAAGAGTTGGGGTGGGTGGTGATGACTATCTGCCTTCCCTCTTGTCTTACACTGCTAAATTAGGGACGGCTAGTGCAGATAGCCCTCGTGTAGCTTTGCGTGAAATTAAAAATAAAATAAACCATATTTGCAATTATCTCAATGTAAAATTTACGTACAATCCACCCCCCCCCTCCACATTTTAACATGCATGACGAAGACCATCACTATTCTCAAATTATTACACTGGAAACTAGAGATCTACACGAACTTGTTTAAGTCATCAAAATGTTTCGCGGAAAATACCTGAATCATGTTTACGTAGGTAACCTTTAGTTTCAACTCTGACTGTTACCTGAATTTT